TTGTTACTACTAGCTTCTTGTTACTACTAGTAAGGCACCTGTTACTAGAAGCGATGCACTTGTTACTAGTAGCGTCCTTGTTACTACTAGTAAGGCAAACATTTGCAAACCCATTTTGTTTATTTTGTCGTCCTCTATGGTCAGTTTGTAGTGGTACGGGATGTATACGTAATAAGAGTTTCAGCAAGAAAGCAGAAGTACAGAATCTCATCTGAAGAATTTTCTCTGCCTTCCACTCTGCCGCATGGCTGCAGTTGCAAGCTCTACCAAATGCATTTCCAAACAATCAGAGGAGTGGGGCTGTGCTCTGGGGCTCGGGGCATCTCGGGGCTTGCTTGGACTTCGAGCCCATCGCCGGTCATTGCCGGGCCGGAGGAAACCTCTTGTCGACTCTCGTAGTGTGACATCCGACTCCGAGGCGCATGGCCAATGGAGGTTCCCCCATTCTCCATGTCGGGCACTTTGTGCTCAGCGTTGGCTGTGCTCACGTGGTGAGTCGAGGCATGGCATCAACCACATCTTTCAAGCAACTCATCAAAGCCTTCGAGGCCAAGCTCCTCCACGACCTGCAGAACGAGGTGTCTTCTTGGATGGTGAGGAGATGTGATATGGATTGATATGGTCTCTTTTTGCATCTTTTTGCCCCATTTCAAGCGTCTTCCTGCCGGCCTCTTCGTTCCGCTCCAGAGTCTCAAAGGCCTACTCCATGAGGTCACGTCATGTTAGACACAAACACAAACACATGATTGAAGCCACCTAAAGGTGTGAGCTTTTTGGACCCTTGATGTACAGTAATACATTTGGTTGGAACTGAGTCTGTTGGCAGGCTTATCAACTGCACGGCCCATGCACTCCCCACCTTCTTGTCATCTATTGCCTGCCGTGTGAGGATTGTAAGAAGCACTTCACTGCGATGGACCAAAAGAACACTTAAAGATAGGGCGATAGCATTGGCAGTAGCATTATATAATGACATAGGCTTGACACACATTTCTCTGGTTTTGCCAATCTGGGTTACATAGGCTAAGTAGCTCAAATCTCAGGCTGCAACCTCCAGGTCTTTACACCGCAGCAGGTGCAGAACCACTCGAGGCGCTCGCCCCAGGATGCTGCGGCTTCCTTCCTGCGTGTCAACTTGCGCTAAAGCTGGGCGATGTCGAAGCTGGTCAAAGGGGCAACTTGTGTTGCTCCAAGAGTGCCACACATCTTTCTGTTTTGCACAGGGCCGACAGATTCTCTGCAATCAAGATTGATATGTCAGTGACAGAACACTCGCAAAAACTTTGACCTCATCTTGAAGGGCATCACGGCCAATTAGTTGCAACACCTCACAAAACAAAAAAACAAATGAATCTATTCAAGGTTTCCTCGCCTTGCGCAGCATCAGAAGCTAGTGGACTTGCCCCATCACATCCAACTACAGTCTTGAAGTAAGTGCACATGTAGATTCCACTACAGTAATGATGGAAACTGCTAATAGACACCCTTAGAATATCTTAGATGAAAAATATATACTTTACCGCTGAAGCACGTCCACTTCAGGGATGGTTTCGATGTGATCTTCGCTGTCGAGGAATGGCTCAATGACCATCTCAGCATCAGTTTCGCCTGACGACAAATACTCTGGTGGGACCAGCTGACCATTATTAACAAGACGATGCACAATGAAACACGAGTGCCTTTAACGGCTCCTGTGTTTACCATTGTGGACATCTAAATAGTGTGCCAACAACAAAAACAGTACCTGCCTTGTCTGACTCTGCCAAACAACCTGAGAAACACGGGTCTTGTGGTCAATGAAAGCAATCTGACCATTTGTGATTAGTTAAATAACTAGCTACCCTCAGGATTTTGGTTGGTTCTGCAAAAACGTTGTTTGGTTGGGGTAGGCAATAAGCACCTCTACTGACCTTTCAAGCGATGCGCAACCAGGAAAACAACCTTCCCCACGCGGCTTTGATCCTCAGAATCAATAAAGTTCGTCACCAGCATCTCTCCACTACGCTGAGACAATTTCAAGTCCAAGTTCCTGAACAAACTATGATCAACCAAGCATGAGGAACCTTTTGCATTAATATCATAATATCGTTACACTGGAAGAGAGTGCCTCTGTGAGAAGCAGGAACTGCTCGGTCCAGAAAAACGGTCCATCTGTTGGACGGAGTCGCTGAGAATAGAGGAAGGTTTCAGGAGACTTCGTAGTTTGGCGAGTGTGGAGTCACGTATCCGCCGACCTTGGCTTAGGCATGATGCAGCATGTGGGGTACCGCAGGATGGAATGTTCGCCTCTGTCCACTCAACGCTTCTGGCTGCAGCATTTGCGCGCAGAACACCACGGGCTAAGGCTGTGGCGAGGGGCGCCTTCGTGGCCTGTCCTCTGGTTCCTTCTCCAGCCACACGTCTCCAGCGACCAATTTGCGCGCAGGACAAGGGTTAAGGCTGTGGCAAGAGGCACCTTCAGGCCTCTGGCCAGCCAAGTTTTTTTGGTTGCAAATCTGCCGTCTGGGACTTTCTGCGGCGCGCAGGATCACATGGACTAAGGCGGCTAAGGGCGCCTTCCAAAAAAGAAGTGCCTTTCAGTTTTTTGCCTGTTGCAAGCGGGCAGTCCATCTTCACTTTGGTCGTCATGTGGTCGAAGCGTATTGAACCATGACCTTCACACCCAATTCCAGCAATTTACCATCCTTCAGTTTTACCTGAAGTGCTTGGGCAACTATGTCAAAGCATAGGGGTCGGCGGCACCGGGGCGACAGCCCATTCTATACGACGACGCCGATCCGGTGGGGGTATCAAGCCTAGCTTGCTATATGGAGACGCGCTCCATGCTGCCGACCCGCATTTCGAACATCCCCAGGGCTCAGGTGGCTTCGTCAAAAAAAGTCAAAAGCAGAGGAAATTGATCAAACATGGCAACTGTAAAGCTTATAGCTTCAACGCCTCTAGGAAATAAAGCGTTGAAATGGAGACAACCTTTGAGGATAAATATTGGTCGAGCACTATTAGCATCAGCAGAGTCTCAGCAGGAAAAGATGCAAAGCCTTTGGTGCATGACCAAACGTGCAAATTGTATGTCGTTTATGAACAAAGCTGCTTGTACTCTGGTGATGCCAATGGTGCTCGACACAAAAGCTACCTCAAAACTTCCTCTCCCCTTTGCATACTTTCTTCTCTAGAGATAAAGCTTTACAGTAGCCATGTTTGATCATTTTCCTCTGTCTTTGACGTTGTTTGACGAAAATACGCGAGTGCGTGTGCGTGCGGGTGCGTGTGCGGGTGTGCATGTGCATACGTGTGTCTGAAGCTGAGGTTGCCTGGCTTTTCCATCAGACCCTGGTGCGTAAGCATAATATTATGGTTTGGGTGTCAAGCGTCCCCTGCATTACCCCACTCGCTCTGGTTTCTCGGAACATCTGTCCACTTTGTCAGGGCACTGCACCTTGATATCTCTTGGCGTGCTGCCGCTGATCTCCAGTACGTTGGCGGAGAACTGCTCACCTGACCAGTGGGTTGTCGAGTCATTTATCTTCAACACTTTGTGACAACATCAGTCAGCCTCATTCATTCCAAACAATGCGCCGCTGTGAAGATGCAAACAAGTACTATTGGGTTCTATCTTGGCTTGGAGTATGAATGAAAGGGAAGGTGAGCATCACATCTGCATGCATTTCTTGGGTTGCTACAATTGTTCCCTCAAACACCCCAAAGGTTCTACAGCATGAGAGTCGACCTGTCCACTTACTACTTGAATTTTTGGCCCTCATCCAGAAATTTTGGAAAAGAATGACGGTGACCTTTCTACGGTTGCAAACAACTGTGCAGTTTCCAAACATCGCGTCGCAAGCGAACAACTGAGGCATGCTATGCCCGTGACCGTTCTGTGCCACAAGGATCTCATCGCCCGGGTTCAGCCCGTAGCTATTAGAAGCCTCACTCGTAGAACATCCGAAAGGTCTTTGCCAAAAACTCCCAAACTCCTCAACAACTCAAGCACCAACGTCGATCACTGCCCGTCAACCATACAAAATCATATTAGCCCAACATGGCACAGCTTGTTGATCACAACGAAACCAAATGAGCAGCGGCCAGCACCGGGCAGGTTCTCCGAACTGGTGACGGATGGTTTAATATGTTTAATGGCCAAACTGCAGTGTATTGTCATCATCCCCTTCTGACCAGGGAGTAGAATCCATTACCGAACTGGCCAACGGATGCCGAGGGAGCTTCTGTTGGCAGCTCAAACAGCGACTTTGCAAAACCTTGGAACGATTGGAGCCCCATTGTGAAGGCGCAATCAAGAAACTTGCTGGTGAGGATGAAAGCAAACAACCTTGCATTGGAACTCGTCAGTTAGCGCGTCACCATTCCTCGAAAGGAAGTGCGAAAAAAAACACATAAAACAACTCTTTGCCGTGCTCAAAGGTATAATGTACGAGGTTTCAGGAAAATGACTGCATCAGTGCGGTGGCATGCTGTGGCATGTAAAATATTGTTGCATGTGAGGGCACCAAGCTTGTGGACACATTTTGTTGCACGAAGCATCTCTAGCTGTAACCCGAGTAGCCGAGTTGAGTAGTGGTAGTAGTAGCCGCAGCCACAGCCACAGCAGCCGCAGCAACAGCAGCAGCTACTTGGTGACACAACAGTGTGCAGTTTCTGTACAGCTACTGTATAGTATAGTTTCCGCAAGTTGCTGAGCATGTTAGAGGTAGTGCTGAAGCATTCCACCAAGTCTGTGGACAAAGACAAGTATGATGTGGGTTATCTAGGGTTACCCGCCGCACATGGTTTTAGTGTACAAAGAAAGCTTTCCAGGTTCTGAGATTTTTTTAACAAATATAGTTAGCTTCTTCGGAGTCTTGAAAGCTACAAGGAGGATAGTGAGTGTTAAATGCTACCAAGATCTACCAAGTCTCTTCAAACACTGATGCACTGATACCCACTGTTACCACAGTGATCCAATATATCAGTGTTTCTAGCTTATAAAACCTGATATAGAGTTCTCTAGGTGTTTTTAGATGTGAACTGGGCCCTAGGCTCTGCCTGATTGTTGCAAAGCTTGAATACATCTTTCAGTTGATGACATGATGAAAGTAGTTCGGTGATCAGTGCGACAACTGATTAACGAATTATAAACATTACAAATCAAGGTTTCGGTTTGAAGACACGGAGCTATTGGTTTCTCGTACGAAGAAAAATTCTCCAAAGGTCCCACCTCTCCTCACCAAAGCATCAGTTCCGCCCTGGAAGATTAACATGGAAGTTGAAAACCACTGGGTTGTAGAGGAAAATCGTATTCCAAAGTTTTGTTATTTCAGGTTCCATGTTACGTAATGTTCCCGGGTGTAAGAAGGGTGGTACACCTCTATACTGCCTTCTTCTTTCCTCAATGCTTCTATTCTCTTCTGCTCTTTGCATCTGGTCAACAGTTGTCTTTTGGTGCAAGGTGACCTTGGCATACAAAGTCATCGCACAATAATCTCTGCAAAGCATCAGAAGTTCTTCTTCGCGGAAGACACTGAATCTTGCAAACTCTTCCCACTCTCCAACCATTGGGCAAACCAGAAGGGTTGTGGTAGGGCATCCCTGCGGTAATGCAGCCAGTGAACCTGACGGTCAACAACTACAGCCTGACAGTGCTTGGAAGTAGGCATGAGCCGCCGATTGTAAAGGAACAAATTTAAGCAAACAACGGCTTTAATATAGTTTGCCATTAGGTTGGAGGCCATCGCTCCTAGGGTTGGAGCCCATTGCCATTAGAAACAAAGAAAACCGCAGAAAATGTCTATATAAACAAAAATTGCCTTGAACATCTCACGACTTCAATGAGCATGATTCAAAACAACCAAAGCGAGCAAGCAGGGAAGCAAGGATGCCTTTGAGCTTTGCCGCTTCCGCTTTCAAGTCCAAGAGTGCATCTTCAGGAGAGGAAGCCAAGCTGGTGACCACGCGGATGCCACCAGCCTAGAGAATGCAATCTGCGCAAACTGCAGAGTATTGAGCTACATTAAGCTGAAGCTACTTCCACTTGGCCGTTCTGCTGAGGTCTTCAACGTGATTTTATGCGCGGCGAGATGTGGTGCCATGAAGTGTGTGGCAATGCGACGTGCGATGTGGCGTGATGAAGTGCTGCGATCTCATGACTTGTGATGTGTGATGAAACGTATCGAGGATGAACTGATCATATTAAGTCAAACATCCACACAGAAACGCGTTAAACGCGGTTGCATTCATTGAACAACGTGGCAAAATAGCATCTTAGGCTTCAGCAAGTGCTGACACACAAAGCAAGGGACGAGCCTAACATGTTTCTCTTCTATCTTGTCCCACATGCTGACAGCACTGCAAGAGTTGAAGCAAGATGGTGAGGAGCCTACCTCGTCGGCTGTTTTGGCCCAAGGGCATAGGCCGATCTTGATGATAATGGTCTGCAGCCACGCTTGAACCTCACTGGAGAGAAACATGAAAACTAGTCACAAGCTTCCTCTGAAGAGAAGAACCAAGATTATGCGATCACCAAAGGGGTGGTCGCAGGGGTTCACATACATCTTCTTGTTACTACTAGTAAGGCACTTGTTACTACTAGCGTGGCACCTGTTACTACTAGCTTCTTGTTACTACTACATAAAGCATCTTAGAAACCAAATGACAGGGATTCTCGGATATTCAGCTATTCAGTTGATACCTTTTCAGGCCTGTTCTATCCGTTCCCCACATTCAGGCCTTCAAAGGAAGCTTCAAAATAATTACATATTCAGCCGAAGTTCCGCCATGGCGTGTTCATCATCTTCAACCTGGGCCACTACAACAAAGCTGTTAGAACAAATACTACAGTACTTTCAAACATGCATGGAGGGCAAATTGGCAAATGGCCACATAGTGCAGTAGTCTGAAGGCTCTCACACGCAACAAAATGATCATTGCAACCTGTTCGCACGTTGTTCCTTCGTGGCTCTGCGCTGAGCATCTGAGTAGGTGCTAGAGTTGCTTTGACCTCAAGTTCTCATAGAGTGCTATGACATGTTTCGCACAAGGCCTCTCCATGAGGCTTTGTTCAAACTCACTAAGTGCCCTAGGCCACTTGTCCAACATCCGGTTCATTGCGCCATTGAATGAGGTGAACCGGCCATTTGCGTAGTATGATCGAGGACTCCAAACCAAACGTGCAGCAAGTAGCGGGGCAAGCAGGGCGCTAAATGTGATATCAACATGAGACAAGGATTCTCCCGTCAAATACTTCTGCTTTGAAAGGGTAGTGTCAGCTTCATCCAAAATTGCATCAATCATCTTCCGCCGGCTGTCTCGCACCTCTTTCTTCGACAAATCAAATGCCATCCGCATAAAACGCCTCAAGAAAGGATGCGCCAACTGCAGGATGAGGCGATGGAAGAAAGGCACCTTGGGTTCGTAGGCACCCCAAGCTATCAAGCATCCTTCTGGTGTCGTGTCAAGGTCCGGGACATAGAAGTAAGCCCAGCCTGCACGGGGAACTGGTTGCCATGTATGCATGAAAGTCTCAAAGATGTGACACGCATACATTTTTGATGGAGAAAGCAGAAAGCATGAGAAAGCAACGAAAGGAGATTGAGGTTTTATCTTGTCATGTGATTCCTCTTGGATTGATCTTTCGGATTCACGAGATCACACCAATCTTTTTCAGCTTTGAGCACTCGGCACAACCATGCCTTGCACAAGGTGCCCCAGCTGATTAAGCTTCACATCCCAGGCCATGGTTTGCTCATCCGTCCGCAGAAATGAGATTGCTTTGGAACGGAGGCTGGAATTCGTGATGCTGGGGACATATGCAGCACTGAGGTATGCCTTAGGTCTTGGAGTCACCAAGTCTGGGAATCGGCACATAAAAAAGAGAGTAGCATATTAAGTATATATAATTGTATATATTATATAGTATCAGTATATATATATAGAGGGATACATGTGTCATTACATATATAGAGAGAAATCACGGCATGACATGTGCATGCCACTTCTTCCGACTTCTCTTCCTATCAAAAGGAATGTTCCAAAAGCAAAGCATTGACCAAAGACCAAAAGCATGTTTTCAATTCTGAGCCCTTTGCATAAGCAATGGGAAGTTCGTAGGGAAAATCCTGGCTTGGAAGTCATCGCCGAGTTGCAAGACATTCATCGCTGTTGCCAATCATGCTGCAGGACTTTCGGTCTATGAGTTGCGGCACGCTACGGCCGCGCAGGAAAGCGGAGATCAAACCTCCCGATGTGTACTCTTCATAGGGCGCGCCGATCAAATCGAGAGACCAGCGAATCCTTTCTCCAAAATGGTTGATAGGCATCGCAACAAAAAGAAAACGAGGTCGATCCTGGCGGCTATTCATGACATCCACCAGTTGGTGAAACAGCCCCTTCTCTCCCAGTCCAATTTCGATGCCTTTCAAGGTGACGGGATCACCACGGATGGCACGAGCAGCCAATGCAGAGGCGAAGAGAACCAAGGGCAAAGAACATGCCACACTCTGCACGGAGAATGAGAAGTAAGCAAAAACTAGAGCAGCGGCAGAATGCACAGCTGCCACACATGCCGCAATCAGAAAGGCAGAGTGAGGCTGCTCCATGGCTGCAAACAAGCGATCTACGTATAATACCTCGGAACGCAGTCTCACTGCTGCTTTCTTATGTATACTACAGCACAGAGTCCTCTCTCACAGGTCCTTGCTGTTGCTTTGCTTTGTTGTGAACTTCCTTTCTTACCATCGAACTGAAGCATCGAGAATCATCGAGACGTGTCCAGAAATTGCAACGTGCTTTGGCTTGTCTCGCCCGGGCCACCCCATTGAGCACCTGACCACCGCCGGCCGACACACCAAGCGCTGCGACGGGCGCTTTGGGTGCCAAAGCGAATAGGAAAGGAGTGCCTCGGACCATCTCAGCACACAAATACACCCAAATGAAACTGACTGTATTAATGTGGATTGATTCCGTTTATTCTGAACTCTTTTCAGCAAGCTTCTTCTAATTCTCAGATTCACGGCCCGCAGTTGACGCGCCCGGCCCCTTGTGTATGTCCGAAGCACGATCCCAAGAGCCTTTCGTGCTAGTCCCAACCTCACCCGTTGATGATGGGGAGCAACTTGCCCCATGTGAAGCCCAAAGTGAGGCCGGTCCCATTTACGAAGGCGCACGGACTTCAGGCTGGAGCACAATTCCATGGCAGCCATTCCAAGCAGCGGACAGATTGGCGAAAAAGGACCCGGCCAATCGATTGTCCAGCTGTACGTTTCTCTATCCTAGATTGCATTCAAAACCATTTGATACTTCTTGACCTTGCATTTGCTTCATTGGAATCTGCGTGGATCAAGCTTCCTGAACTCTTGTGTTCAGACGGTAGTACATGTCTTGTTGTGTTCAGGTAATTCCTATGATTGCTTCTGCTTTGAAGCTCAGTCGAGTCCGGCCTGCACAAGGTCTAGGGTGACATATGTCATATGTCCAACTGCCAAGCCACTTTTTGAGATCTGCTTGTGACATGCTGTGAAATGGTTCAACTCCCAGATCCAGCCTTCCATGCTGTTTAAAGGCTTCACTGTCCTGACCCATGCAACTAGTGTCTTTGAACCGACACTTGTATTTGTACGTCCAAGCAACTGTGTTTCATTCCAAAATTCTGCTGGCATGGAACTTCCATATCTAGACTCGTGCCTGTATCAATTGAGTTGACTGAGAGCCAAACACAAAGTGGCTGCCCTGGTAATGGCTTGCCAGTGCCTCTTGCACTTCTTTACCGCTTGCTCCTTCGTTGAACGGTGATGCCCTCGACCAGTAATTAGATCTAGACCTGTGCCACCCTAGTGTCTTTTTAACGTCGTTTCGTGAAGATGCATTCTTTACCGTAGTTTGGCTTAAAAAGTGTAGCTTCCCAAAAATAATGGCGTTTCACATCGACCCTCAATCAAAGTGTGTCTGAACATTTGTGCCTCGGTTATGCGCTGTTTTGAGCTGTTTCTGCGTTGTTTCGCGAGAGGCATTTGCCGCTTGAAGACCTCTTTTCTGCTCACTTCGTTGAAAACAGAAGCAGTAACAAGACATACCGTTTTGTCCAAAAACATGTTGTTTTTGTGGGTGTGTGCGTGTGTTCTTTTCGAAACATCAATAGTTTTGCATACTTTTGAGGACGCAGGGATGTGTCTTTTTTCTCTTCAAATTTTGAGACACACTTGAATATGAATAAACTAGCTGCAAGTTGGGAGTTGTCCGTGGTGTCTTTCGGCTTCAAATCCCTTCTTGAGACACTGGCAGGTTCATGCAGGTTCGATAGTTCAACTTATTTGCGAGCAAGCACCAAATTCAGCGTGCAAGACCATTTTAATTTTGTATTCCAGCATGGCTTACAGTATGTCTGGGTTACATCAGTCACCTGTTCACACTTTGCTCGGCTTGGTGGAACCGTGTTTGTTGGGCGAGCCCTGCAGTTCCCCTTGCCCATGACAGACTCATCAGCATAAGGATGATACAAACATATACAAACCAACTGCCCCTGTTCAACTTTCGTCAGTTTTATGGAAATGCAAAGTCGCTTCTCAGGTCAGCTTTGGACCTTGCCTTTGACACTCTAGACTGCAGGAATGACCGGAATATATATATATAGTACCGGAATGACATTTGTCAAACGCCAAACAGAAGTTGATAGAAGTTGCCCATTGAAAGGGCCTGCCACTAAACCATGGAGCGGTCCTTCCCGCAGCTGTGAGAAGCGCAGCGGCACTGACCTCTGTGCTCGGATGTGAAGCCGGTGAAGCACATAAGAAAGCAAGCTGGAGAATGCGCGGGAAAATGCTAAACAATGCGACATGAGACCTGTAGTGGTGGAGCATCCTCTGAAAGCCAACTCACACGATCCACTCTGAGGTCGTGGCACCACCATTCCCTGCTTGAAGTCACCCACAGCTGGACAAAAGATTGGTTCCTTGAACGGTCTGCAATCTCTGCCGCGAACACCCTTCTGCTTCTTTTCGGGATCCGGTGCTGGAAAGCGGGGCTTTGATGGGCATTGTATTCCGTAAGGGATGTTCCTAGTGCTTCTTGTTACTAGTTACTAGTAGTTACTAGTATATAGTAAGGCCAGGAGCCCCTATATAGTAGCTTCTTGTTACTAAAGCTAAAAACTGCTTGACTTCTCAAGAATCAAGGCGTTGCCCTCTTGTCTTCGTTTGGCGAGGTGTGCCTCATTCAATCCTGTCCACTTGGCCATTTCAGCCAAATGCTTGTGCTTCAACGCAAAGCCGTACCTCGGTGCATTGCACCCCACACCCGACACCGAACATGAAAAACCAACCGCGATGGCCCCGATGGCCTCCAACCTAATAGAGATGGCCTCCAACCTAGTAGCCATGGGCTCCACCTAACGGACCTCCATCTCCGGAATGAAATTACGGCGAATCATGGGGCACGCTCCCCATGGCTCATGTTCCTCCTCTTCATAGGTCTTGATGAGACCCTGGCAAGCATAGAGCTTTGATTCGTTGACAATGGCAACAGCCACAACTTTTGAAAGCATGCCAGAGTGTGGCTGCTGTCTCAAACTCAATCTAGCTATTTAGATTCTTGGTGATAGTAAGTCACTGCTGCAGTGTTGCACTCCAGTTGTGCCAGTGATGAGGTGTTCTTCATGTTGTCCGCAATAAAATCGCCTTACCACCTCCCGAGTATCCGCTGACAGCATGTACCTGGAGGAGCTCAATCTCTGTTTAAACACACTCTGCAGCCAACACACAACACGTGCAATATTATTTGCACCCTTACATAGGTTTCTGCCCCCAAACACGAACACCTCTTGCGACTATAAAGGCATCAACGGTGAGCAGCACCTGTGCAAAGCAGCTGTGAAAAAATTGTCCATCAAACAATCAGCAAAATGGAGTGGTGAGTGGACATGTAGATGAAAACTCGTGACACGCAAACCTTAAGTGGCATCCCAAGCTTAAAGGTTTGTGTCCTGTCATGGTTGTGGCACGACGACACCCGCTGAAGAAGGGAGGAGGCCAGCATCCACCAGTGGCCTTGGATCCCAGGAGCTTGATGCGTATTGAAATTGAAATTCAAACAACAGCTGCACCCCGCCAAAAAGAGCAGACCAAGAAAACATACTAAGATTTTCAGAGCTCTGCTACAAAATGAATCAACATTGGCCAGCCTTATGGTTTGCTTTGTCTGATGATCTTAATGGGTGGTTTGCTGCTAGAGATGTCCTTCTCAGTGCCAAAATCTTGGTAAGGCCTTGGCGTGAGTGTTACTTTCTAAGGAATTGTCTGAAACACGAACATGTTCTTTGCACCGAACCAAACAAACAAGCGACAGTCTATCTGAGGTTGTGCTTGACTATGGACTATGGTTTGATTCAGGTCTGTCTATGTCCAATGAAGACCGGACTTTTGACTATTTATTGGTCAGCTTTCAAGCGCGGCATTTTGGCTGAGCTTCCTATGAGTGAATCATCCGGTTCTCTATGCTTTTCATGGAGTGCGCAAGTAAGCAAAGTAAGCATAAGTCATATGAAGGTACATGAAGAAATGACATGACCATCCTCAAAAGCTTTTTCCCAAACCCATTCGGACGACAAGACCTGTGGAAGGCCGACTCCTTTGACCTAAGGCGCCTGCCGCACCAGGCCAATGAAGCCTGAGACATGAAGAATCACTGGGACCTATTATTGTATGAGGTCCCGATGATGTGTGAAACCAAGGCGTTAAGCCGCTTAAACCAGCAAGGCCGGTACTGCCATCAACTGAAGAAACATACGAAAAATAGAGAGGAATCAGGAACCACCTTATGAAGGAAAACCATCTTCCCAACCGTCAGCATACATCCGTGTTCGCTGGCCATCAACCCTCTCCGATGCTCTAACTCTAGTCGGCCTCCCACTCTCTCAAGCATCCACCGCTCACTCAATTTTTCGTTCAACCTCTGTCAAGTCCTGTACAAGACAGTCATCCAAAGCAAGGCAAGATCTAAAATATGATCTGTCTTGGTACACTAACTCTGGTTCCAAACAGAATTGTTTGAACCAAAAATTTAATTGGCAAAAGTCTCAACGACTTGATGAACAAATCCACTGAAAGCGATGCAAAAAGCACACCATTATTATTACTATGTTTTTAATCAAGATAAATGTCGTTCACTGGCCATCGACCTTCTCGACTCAAGTATGCGCCGACGTGTACTTGAAAGCTGTCATGTGACACGGAATCAACATGTCAAGCATCGCTCCCCATTGACTTTTGCACAGCTGAGCTCAAGACATAATGTCTTCTTCTCAACGTGCATGCGTCATGGACCACAGCGGTCAAACCAACATATTTTTGCAGTAAAATGCTGGTCTCCAGTGCTCCAGAGCTTTTTAAATCCCGTTTTTTTTTAAGTAAAGGGACCACAAGGATGAGCTGTTAGTGGTTAAAAAAGATGCGGTCAAGGTGTTGAGGCAAACAAGCTTTGCAGCATTACTTGAAAAGAACTTTGAGGATCGACTGCCTCGGAGCTGCTGCATTTGCAATTTGGGTCCAACAGGTCATCATCATTCTATTGAAATCTTTGCGATTCCAGGCACAGGAATCATGAGCAAACTTGGTCATTGAGGCTACGCAGCAGAAGCTGCTCGCCTGCAAAAATGGGTCTTTGCGACATGATGCGAAATGTCTTCTTCAAAAACTCAAGCTCCATTCTACTTTGATGAGACAGCCAACAAGCTGTGGTTATCAACCAAATATCGGCAGATTGAATTTTTTAGGGTCTCACCATAACTTGCCAACTGCACTGGCACTACCAGTGCCTGGCAGCCACGATTGTGTCCGCTGTGGCCAGGAGAAAGTCTCTCATCAACGGCAGCTCCTTTGGGAGTTGGTTTTGTGAGGGAAGATGTTGGTATAGTCTCCAATGAAACATAATGAAACCATATCATCGCAGGTGAGGTGTGATTGAAGTCTCTCCTCAACGTGACACGACGTTGCAAAGGGTGGTTCTGGGGGTCCCCTCTTCACATCTTCCTGAGAGACCTCAACAAGCGGTCATACGCTCTGTCCTTGTGGCCTGTATCCACTGTGGCCGGTCGGAAGATCTGGCCATGAAACAAAACACCAGCAATTGATTGGCTTAAATAAATCTTCAAACCGGCTCTGGTGTAAAGTCCAGTCTCAGTCTGGAGTTGGCAACCCTGTGC